TATTTTTGTTTTTTTTATTTTTGTTTTATTTTTGTTTATTTATGTTTTTTTTATTTTTGTTTTTTTTTTATTTTTGTTTTTTTTTTTTATTTCTGTTTTTTTTTTTATTTTTTTTTTCTTCTCTTTATTTTTTTTTCTTTTCTTAACAATTTTTTCGAGTCAGGTGTACAAATTTTTTTTTATTGGTAGCATCGCTACTTACATGTTTTATTTCTATTTCCTAATTACAATTTTAATTTGAGTGTTTTGACAAAATTATAGAGTATGTTATATATACTGTCAAATGTCAGTAGATTTTTTAAATTTATAGGTAATTGAATTTTGTTGTTAATTAAGTTTTGGTATAATAAATTAATTTCTAAATCGTTTAGAATACAATCCAAAAATATATGTTGTAAATCAGCAATCTCATCACAAATACACAAATCATTATCTATTAGACCTATTCGCTTCATATATTGAGGGTATAAAGCATGATTAGTTCTAATTCTGCTAATCGTTTGGATTAGTGGTCTATTTGACAGCTTATCAAACCACGGTTTTACCCTTATATTAGGTTGAATAGATTTATAAAAATTACCTGTCTCCTTCTCTATATATTTTGCTTGCCAATTTTGATCCCTTTTATATTTGAAACAAGTATTTAGATCGGATAGGGGTATTTTAAAATTACTTATGTAATTAAGTTTTGTTGCAGTTTTAGCCAAAAAGTCTACTTTTTCATTATTAGGTATTCCCATATGGGCTTTGACCCAAGATATGTATATTAGTTTATCCTGATTTCTTGCCTCAAAATTTAGTTTTAAAATGTCCAGAATTATGTAATTAACTTTAGAATTGAAATTAAAATTTTGAAACTTTTGAACTAAACTTTTGCAGTCTGTGAAAATGACAAAATTTAATTCCTCTTGATTTAGGCATAACGAAAAGGCTTCTCTAATTGCTAATATTTCTGCACTATAAACTGACATACAATTTGGCAAACGTTTTAAAATTTGAATCTCTTTATTGGGATAATATAAAGCGTAACCTACTTGATTATTTAATTTAGAACCATCGGTGTAAAGTGTTTCATAATGTTTCCATTTTGTATTTAATTCTTCATAAAAATTTGTCTTTATTAGTAAAGGGTTGTCAACGTCGAATTTATTATTAATATAACTATTAACTGGCATAATAAGAGACAGATATGGATTGGACCACAGCGGTACGCCATTTGAAACTGGTAGATCATTACTGACATCTGAAGTAGAAATAAAACTGTCAACTAATAATGGCAGTTTTTTCTTTTTCCAAAAGGATGAAGTTAAGCATAGAGTAGTTAATCTGCTTAATTTATTGATTACTGTGTAATGTTTTGATCGGGATAACAATACAAATTTATCGCTCAGAAATTTCCTTCTTAGATCCAATGGACTCTCACATGTTTCGACTTCCATAACATTTATAGGAGTGCTTGGTAAGAATCCTACGCAGAGTCTTAGGCATTTATTTTTAATTTGTTCAATTTTCTGAAGATGTGAGTTTGCTGCTGTGTTATAAAAAATTGAACCATAATCTATAATTGGACGAACCAGCATTCTATAAAACATTAGACTAACATTTGGGTCAGAGCCCCAATTATGACAAGTAAAAGTTTTTATTATATTTACAGCATTTTGGGTTCTTTTCTGAACATAATTTATATGTTCCTTCCAGTTTAATTTACTGTCTATAATAATGCCTAAAAATTTAAAGGAGGATTTATAAGCCAGGTTATATTTATGTAACTTTATATAATTTGGATGGTTATACCTTTTGCGCGTATAAGTAACTACAGCCGACTTCGATTCAGATATTGTTAAACCGTTTTCATGACTCCAACTATGAATTTTCTCCATAGATTTGAATAGTTGATCATGGCAATAATTAATTTGTTTGTGGCTTGTGTAGATCACTACATCATCTGCGTATTGAAGAATATTTGTAGATCTTGGAATACAATTTTCTATATCAAACGTGTAAATATTATAAAGTAAAGGGCTTAAAATACTTCCTTGAGGGATCCCAAGGCCCGATTCTCGTGGACAAGATAATTCACCGTTTACTTTTAAAAATAATTTCCTATTGTTATACAAATGATATATATGATTTGAAATAGTTATGGGGATTCCTAACTTACATAATTTTTCACATAAAATATTTAAATTTACATTGTCATAAGCACCTTTTATGTCTAGAAATAAAGCGCTTGTAGATTCATTTTTTGATAAGCATAGTTGGATATCTGTTACTATATTTGCTATACTATCCTGAGTTGAAATATTTTTGCGAAATCCAAATTGAGTAGATGAAAGTAAGTTGTTATTTTCTAAATAATATTCCAGTCTGAGTTTTATCATTTTTTCATACGTCTTAAATATACAAGAAGCAAGAGCAATTGGTCTATATGAATCAGCTTGATCTGATCTTTTCCCAGGTTTTAGTACAGGGATAATAATGTATTCGTACCATTCTTTAGGAATTGTTATTTTTCTTGTCCATATATTATTAAATATGTTGAGAAGAGATAATTTTGCATTCTTCGGTAATTTATTCAGCATAACATAGTGTATTGTATCGTGACCCGGTGCTGTATTTTTTGGATTTTTGAGGGCAAGACAAATTTCATGATAAGAAAAGGGTTGGTTTAAATAATCGGTCACTGTTTGTTTTGCAATATTTTCTAATGATGGAGTTCTATGAACATATGGAGGAGTCAAGTTATTATGGAATTCTGTTAACCAGGTCGATTCATTTATGTCTATTTGTACGGTATTATTTATTTTCCTATTTTTGTATTTATTTACTTTTTTCCAAATATCTTTCATTGAAGTAGATTTGTTAAGACTTGAGCAATATTGTTTCCAGCTATCCCTTTTTGTTTGTTTGAGTATCCTTTTCGCCACCGCATCGTTTCTTTTATACTCTAATAAGTTATTTAAATTAGGATTATTTAAATAATTTTGAAAACTAATCTTTCTTGAATCTACTACGCGTTTACAGTTTTCATTCCACCAATGCTTGTTTTTTGGGGAAACATGTATTGATCTATATTTAGGTATGGTTAGTTCTATTATGTTTTCTAATTTTTCCATAAATTGACTATATTCATTAATTTCCGTTTCTGAGAATTGTTTCAACGCTTCTAAATAAAACTCTTTGAGCACCAACAAAATTAGTCCCGTTATCTAAATAAATGACTGTTATTCTTTCTCTTCTGGCAAAATCTCCTCAAAGCTAAAATAAAGCTGTCAGAGATTTAATTAATTCTAGATGAATAGCCCTATATACGTCACAAGTGAATAAAATGATCCACACCTTCTGTCCACCTTTTAAATATAATGGCCCTGCCAGATCAACATCAGGGTTTTAGAAGGCCACTATACTACTTACTTTCTCTTGGTAGAGGTGCAAATAGTACCTCTGCATATTTTGCTTTATTCTGTTGCGTTTTATGCATCTTGAAATAATTGATTTTACTGATCTTCGTCTTTTGATTATCCAATATTTTTCTCTTAAAATACACAGCAATGTTTGAATTCTGATATAGGTATTTACATCATGTTGTTGTACAATTATTCTTGTAACAATAATAGGTTTATTCGGTAGCAAAATAGGACACTTAAAGTCATAGGGTGTATCTGCAAATCTTAATCTTGACTTTAAAATGTCTTCTGGCAATGCTGACTCAACTAACGGAAGTAACATTGCGGTATACTTTTCACTAGTTACCCCTAGACTTTCTAATGCTTTTAGTTAAGTTTCTAATTTAATATATAAATCTGCTAAAGCCATACCTATCTTTTCTTGTTTTAAGTACTAAATTTAGGAGTTCCCTTACCTAGACTTCAATTAAAAGTTCGTCTCTAGCGAAACGTGTTTTTATTTGGTCAAGTGCCTTTTAATAGTTGGACCCCGATGGCGGAAAACTTTCAACTAATTCTCTTGCTGATGAACCCTTCTCTGACGCTTGAAGTAAATACTGATACTTGTCATCCAAATCAATTTCCTCATCTTCGTCGATTTTCCTAAACTGTCCCCAAAATCCTATCCAATTTCTAACATTTCCGCAAAATTTTCTTAATTCGATTTTCGGGTGAATTTTCTTTTGCTTTTCATCCAACCCTTATCTTTCGTGCTTGATTATTCTTCTTGATCTCTTGATTGAATAGCAAAGTCGCATTGTAGTCTATAGTAGTTCAACTTTAAATGTTTCTGCTTCTAGAAGTTCCTCTTCTAAATCTTTTGTTGCCTTTTCTAGAAATAGGCTGAATACTTTCATCTATACTAAAAATTCTATTACTATTATCTTGTACATTTTTTATCAAAGCTAACTCTTCTTCCATTTTTATTATCTTATTTGCTAGTGCTAGTTCTAATGCCTCACTTGGTTCTGTGAAACTCTTGCGTAATATTGAACGATGAATCTTAAAATCATCCATATCTTACTATCCTGTCACGGTCGCCAATAAATGTAAGGAGTTAATGGATAATTTGTCTTAAATCTTAATAAAAATTATTCCCCAAATTGACTTCTTATAAATATTTTATTTTCATATTAAGTCAATGTGACAATATCAAAAAACATATACCGGGTGAAAAACTAATGTAACATCATTATTACTTATTTTTTTTAATTTTATTTCGTTAATAACAGTTTTTTCAAAACTTTGGTACCAATTATATTGAATTTCGATGATTATGGATCCTTCTACATTGAATACTATTATAGCAGTTCCTGGCGGAGTTCACTTAAACAACGAAAACGAATAAGTTTAGGTCATTTTAGCGTCTCAGAGAGGCAGTGAATAATAAATATATACAAATAGGCATTGTATAATATATCAAAAACCAAAATTGTTGGCGTTATATCCAAAATTTTTCAAGCCACTGGTAAATTTTACTCATTACTTTCAAATTAAAAATAACATTGAATACTTAACATTTTTCTTACAGGTATTGCAAAGTCAACAACTTACCGAGTATGGAAATAATACGATAATAATGGAACAATATCTAGTCCAAAAAGAATTGACGGAAGACCAAGACTTCTGAAAACATTAATTTGATCAGAGGTTCTAAATGCTACTCGAAGATTAGTACTTGAGTTATCTAGAATGAATAAAATTTTGCAAGAATTTAAACATTTAGATTTGCCACAAATATATTAGTCATCTTTATACACTTTCTTGAAACAATAACTTTAAGTTAGTTTGTAGTTTTGATTAGTCAAAGGTATTTTTTATTTATTATGTATATTTCTTTTAGATATTTGAAAAGACATTGTCAAAGTGTATTGATAGAATGCTGTATCTATGTATTTAAAATCCATCAAACAATATAGAAAAGAAAACAGGCCGATCTTTTATTTAGATGAAGGTCAGAGCAAGATTTATCCACGGGCCTGAAAAGCCTTACAAGAAAGGGAAGACGCCTTAATATTTTACATGCTGATTCTTAAGAAGGTTTTGTAGAAAATGAATTTACCAGGAAGAGACGAAAGTATTTTAGAATTGGTTTTCTACGTTTTGACAAAGTTTCCTAATGATGCTGTGATTGTAATGGAAAATGCATAATATCATAGTTGAAAAGTTAAAAAATTTTCTTTGTCATCAAGAAAAGGTGAAATGCAGGAGTGGTTACAAACTAAAAATATTAAATTTATTTAAATTTGAAGCAATATCAACTTTTACACCTAATTCCTCAGCGGTTAAGTGCCAACTGAGCGCGTCTCCGGGTGGTGGATAGGAGGACGGCCAAGTTTCCCTAGGTTAGTGGTAGACATAAATAGAGTGCGAGAGCCTAAAAACCTTCAAAATATTTTGCGAAGACTACCGCTGCAAACCAACTCCCCCAATCTAAGGTGTATGGTAACGTGCCAACGGATGAATTGTCGCAAGGGGTATATGCGGCAGCAAACGCTCCCCTGAGGGAATCTGGCGAAACCCTCTTGTATCTAGCCTTGCCGGCACATGCAAGGCTCTGCGTCGGTCAACCTTTCCTTCCCTAGCTACTCGTGGAAATCATATGGATTCACAAATACAAAAACAAAAACCCAAAGGGGCTGGACGTCAACGCTCACCTTCAGCAAAGGAGACTGGACACCAAAGTCGAACTCCGGCGCAGGAGGCTGGACAGCTACGATCACCTCAAAAAAAGAAGGATGGACGTCAACGCTCACTTCCTGCAAAGGAGCCTGAACAACAAAGTTCAGCTCCCGCGCAAGAGGCTGGACAGCGACGCCCACCTTCAAAAAAGGAGGATGGACCCAGTAGTTCACCTCTAACTAACAGGCCCCGGAGAGGCAAAATAATCTCTGGGTCTGAAGCAAAGAGGAGAAAGAGGGATAAGCTGCAGGCAGGCAGTGCTACGGCAACCGTCACCCTCAGCAAACTCCCTCACTCCAAACAAAAAAGCGGCCTAATCAAGTCGCTAGACAGCGACGCTAGTTCTGCCTCCACAAAAAGGTAGAAACACGACGCAACTAGGGACAAAAAAAAGGCCCGTATCTCACACCTCTTCTGAGGTAACGCCCCGGAAGGGGAAAAACCCAGACAGGGCCACAAAGTTCTGTCTGGGATAAGCTACAAGGATGCAGCTACGAGCCACCTGAAAGTAGCTATAATAGACAAGTATAACCCTTACGGTAAGAACCACCGAAAGAGAAATCCTTGTCAAAAAGACACTGATGGGAGAGCTGGATAAAACAATCTTGTCCGCCTTCTGCAGCAAAACCAAGCCACCCACATTCAGGTCTTGGTTGCACTCTGGTGGAATCATTAGAGTAACTTGCGACGATGACCTGACGTTGATGGCTAAAAACGAAGGTACCGATCATAAAAACATGGGAAGGAGGAACACTCGCAGTTGTAAGGAGGGGCGAGCTTCCCAAGCTCACCAAAGCCTCTCTCTGGATCGCAGGGGAAGCACATGCTGACCTAGATGAGAAAGAGGTTATGCTCAGGCGACTGGAGGGGCAAAACCCAAACTTGCATGTGGCGAAATGGTGCTCCTTCCACCATGAAATCAAAAAATACCCTAAGGGCCATCTCTTCGTCTTCGGCATCGGAGACGAAGACATGGGAACCCTAAAGGCCAAATCAATGAGGATGAGCTATGCGTTCACCTCATTGATTATAAGGCCCAAGGTCGAAAAAGAGGCTGAAGCGGGGCCCAGTGAAGACTCCTTGGTAAAGGACTCTCTTTCCCCCCAATTTACGCCAACGGTGGAGGACGTCGAGCCAGAAAAAATGGTAATCAATGACCTCCAGCAAGAAAACTCCAAGGAGCCACAAGAGACCACCCCTTCTCTACTTTCGGAGGAAGGGATGGTCGAATAATTAACCACCTTGCTGCCCAATTCTCAACGGAGGACCGGGAAGCAATAAAAGAGGTAAAGTTGATACAATGTAACTTGCAGCATAAAAGGGTGGCTACGGCAACTTTATGCCGCCGCCTTGATGAGCTGCACCATACAATAGCACTCATCCAGGAACCCTGGATGAGTAACTAAAATTTAGGTATTAAAAAATCTAAATGTTTCAAGTTTTAGCTTCCCCAGCAACCAACAACCTAGAACATGCATTTACATTCTTAGGAAATACATAGCCCACTCAATGGCACACCTTTCCACCTCCGATTTAAATGCGGTTAGGCTGGAATACGCCATCAAAAGGGAAAAAAGAACGTTAATCCTGGCATCTGCATACCTCCCCTCCGACGCAACAACGCCACCACCCAGCAAAGATATCAAGGATCTGATTAAATACTGCCTGGAACAAAAGTTTGAGCTGGTAATAGGTTGCGACTCTAACGGTTATCACTTCAGTTGGGCAGTAAGGATAACAACGCTAGAGGTAAGTCACTTTATGATTATATAATTACCAAAAATCTTTATATTTTAAATAAAGGTACCACACCAACATTTTTAAACTCTCGCAGTCAAACACTTATAGATATCACTTTATCCACAACCGCTATCTATAAATTAATTCTAAACTGTGTAACATTTTAAAAGGCTAATTATAAAATGTTATTTTAAATGTGAGCCATCCGGTATAATTTAATTATCGCCAACACACAATATTCTAAAGAAGGAAATTTCTGAAGTGGGAGTACCACTTACCAAACGATCTCAAATTAGATTTGTAAATTTCATTTTATTATTACCTTTCGATTGTATCGGTGGTGCATTTGGCTGTTAAAGTGGTAAGCATAAAAAGTATATAATGTCTTTATTAAAAATCTCAGTAGAAATATTATTCAAATCTTTTGTTAATTATTAGTTTTTTAATAGTAAAGTTAAATATATTTTTATGATTCATTCTGGTTGCTAGAACGGCACAATATGTATAGTCACTAGTTTTTATTATCTGATTGGTTCATTTTTTTTTTTAAAAAGTAGATGTTTCAAATTTATATATCGTACAGGACCACGTGAAAAACAAAATCTATTTTTGTCTAGCAAACGAATGGCCATGAGCCATAACGAGATAAGCCATAACGACATAAGCCATAACGACATAAGCCCTAACGTCATAAAACCATAATTCAACCGCTGTAATCTGAACGTTGGTTCCCGAGGAGCAGAAATCTCTTGTGAAAAGTTAGTTGATTGAAAAAGCGACAGTTACAATTCGAAGCTTCATAAGAAGACAGATTAACCGACAAAGGCGTTGGTTTCCGAGGGACAGAAATCTCAACTACCTATGGCTATCTAGAAGTGGTTAGCTAACAAAGTAAAACGTGGTAATTACTAGTGACTAGAACTATTTATGTACGAATCACAATTTGATACCTGATAACTGTGAATAATTTGTTTTCGAAAAGGTTTCTTTTTTTAAATAAAATCATTAATTTTTATAAGTATATATGTCGAATCTTATTTTTTAAAGGTCACAAAAAATTCTCTTTCATTCACTAAATTCTGTATAATTTTTATTAACTTCTTATTATTGATAAAGCTAGAATTTATAATTCTCACTAGCTTTTAAAAATAAAAAAGAGAATTATTGGTACCCAACATTTCCTAGAAAGATTACTACCCTTAAAATTGTCTATTTGAAAAGCCGAATTCACGACAGAGAAAAGGATGTGCTCATTTATTTTTTTTAATTTTTAAAGGTAAGTAAGGTTTGATATTAAATTTCACTGAGCTAGTAAAAATCTCTATAAGTGTTTTGAAATTAACATTTATCAAAAAGGTAACAAATAATATTGCAAATTGTAGCCTAACGGGACAATGGAATATTACAACTGGCAAGTGTTTAATAATATTTCGATGTCAGACCACCGCTGGTTAACATTCAAAATAAACTTGATGTTGCCGACCTACACGCTATCTCGGATCCCTAGGAAGACGGACAGGGCAATCTATGCCCACCTTCTCTAAGAGGCTCTGAGAGAGATGGAGGCCAAAACACCAAACAATAATACTGCTTTGGAAAAGTACACGAACACTATCCAAAGCACAATAAACAATGCCTATAAGAAATCCTGTCCTCTGAGGCTGGTTCAACACGATCAGACGACTACCGCATGGTTGGATCACCTCAGGAAGATGACTAGAAAATCTTTTAATAAGACAAGAACCACAAAACTCAAAGAGGACTGGGATACTTATAAATCTCACCTCAAAGAATACGAAAAAAACAGAGAGATGCATGGAGATCCTACTGCGAATAAATCGAAAATTTCCCGCAGGCAGCGAGGCTTCAAAAAGCTCTCTTAAAAGATCCTCATCGAAGCATTGGTGCACTAATCAAAGAGGATGGCACGAAAACTGCCAACCTCGAAGATAGCATCAAACTTCTGCTGTCAACACACTTCCCTGACTCGGTCATCACACACGTGGCGGACTGGGCAGAGGAAGAATACAATCCATCTGTTTATGATTGGCAAACTGCCAAACACATCGTAGACGATGAAAAAATTAGATGGGCAATATCCAGCTTCTCTCCATTTAAATCGCCAGGACCTGACGGTATCTATGCAGCCCTACTTCAGTGGGGTATGGAAGAACTCACACCGCACCTGGTGGGTATATTCAGATCCTCGTTGGCTTTGAGGTATATCCCCAAAAAATGGAGAGAGGTAAAAGTGGTATTTATACC